CCAGATCTGCCCAGCTCCTCCTCTGCAGACCTATGGCCAGGCGCGGCAGCTAAACAGGCTGGGCTAGGCTGGTAGTGTGGGCCAGCCCACCTATCGGGAGCTCAGCAGGTCTCCAAATGAAGCCGGGAATGGGGAGGCTGATGTGGAAGCCTCAAACCCACCTCTCCCCTTCACTGCACCTGGAAGCCTGAGGGAACTCCAGCAGACTGGGCGCAGATATCCAGAGTCCTCCAGACACGCAGAGAGGCCAGTGAGGGCACCCCAGATCTGCCCAGCTCCTCCTCTGCAGACCTATGGCCAGGCGCGGCAGCTAAACAGGCTGGGCTAGGCTGGTAGTGTGGGCCAGCCCACCTATCGGGAGCTCAGCAGGTCTCCAAATGAAGCCGGGAATGGGGAGGCTGATGTGGAAGCCTCAAACCCACCTCTCTCCTTCACTGCACCTGGAAGCCTGAGGGAACTCCAGCAGTCTGGGCGCAGAAATCCAGAGTCCTCCAGACACGCAGAGAGGCCAGTGAGGGCACCCCAGATCTGCCCAGCTCCTCCTCTGCAGACCTCCTCAGTGCTGTTTTAATTTGCATTTCTCAAATGATCAGTGATATTGAACATTTCTTCATATATTTATTTGCCACTTGCATTTCTTCATCTGAGAAGTGCACGTTCATCTCAGATGCCCATTTCTGAATTGAGTCTTTGAATTCGGAGGGCCCAATGTTTTTCAGTTCTTTATATGTTCTAGATATAACTCCTTTATCTGCAGGACAGTTGGCTAAAACTTTTCCCAGTCAGTGGGTTTTCTTTTCACTCTGTTGGTGATTTCTTTTGATGTGTAAAATCTTTTTAATAAAATGAGATCCCAGCTGTTGATTCTTTGAAGTACTTCCCATATAGTTTGTGTTTTGTTTATGAACTCTTTGCCTACCCCTATATCTTCAATATTTCTACCTACCTTGTCTTCCAGTAGATTTAGTGTTTCTGTTTTAATATTTAGACCTTTGATCCATTTTGATTTTAGTTTAGTGCATGGTGATAGTCTTCTGTCTAGTTTTAGTCTTCAGCAATTTTTGGAAAGCCAATTTTTCTAGCACCATCTATTCAAGAGGCTATCTTTCTTAAAGTGAACATATTAGGCCCTTTTGTCAAAGAAAAGGTGGCCGAGTGTCTTTATAGTTGTATCTGCATCTTCTAATCTGTTCCATTGATCCTCAGGTCTGTTTTCCTTGCCTGCTGATTTTGCCACAATAGCTTTGTAGTATAATTTCAAGTCAGCGATTGTGATGCCTTCTGCCTTGCTTTTGCTGCCCAGGATTGTCTATGCTCTTCTAGGTCTCTTCTGTTTCCAAACAAATTTTAGGAATGTTTTCTCTATATTTGCGGTGTATATTAATGGTAGTTTGACCAGGATTGCATTAAATCTGCATTATCAGTTTTGGGAGTATGGCCAATTTCACTATGTTGGTTCTTCCTACCCAAAAGCAAGGGCTATCTTTCCATTTTCTGATATCCTGTTTAATCTCCTTTTTGTAGAGTATTATAGTTTTCAGTGTATACATCTTTTGCATCCTCTGTTAAATTGCTTCTTAAGTATTTCATTTATTTGGATGCTATTGTGAAAGGTGTTATTTCCATAATTTCTCACTCAGAGAATCTGTTGTTTATGTACACGAATGCTAAAGATTTCTGAATGCTAATTTTATAGTCAGCGAAGCTGCTTAATTTGCTTATTAACTCTGATAGCCCTTTGGTGGAGTTTTTGGGGTCTTCTATGTAGAGTATTATGTCATTGACAAGTAATGATAATTTAACTTCTTCCTTTCCTATCCTTATTCCTTTTATTTCTCTCTCTTGTCTGATTGCCCTGGCTAGTGTTTCCTGCACTATATTGAATAGGAGTGGTAATAATGGACATCCTCGTCTTGTTCCTGATTTTACAGTGAAATTCCTCAGTTCTTTAAGAATGTCTTAATTATCTTGGTTATTCTTCTATCTTTTCTCCTTGGTATAAATTCAAGTCTGAAATTGACAGGTTCCTCAAAAAAAAAAAAAAAAACCCACACAGGTTCTTTTCAATGGTATGAAATCTCTATTAGCAACTTAGAAAACGTATCTTTTCTGTACTGATTCTTTTTTAATACCATTTAATAAATGTTTATGTTATTCTTACAAATGTCTTGATTATGGTATTTTTTACATACAGTTGATTCTATTTGCTAATATTTTATATAAATTTTTACATTTATGTCATAAGTCATATCAATCCATAACTTGCCTCCATTTACTTATCTGTTTAGGCATTATGGTTATAGTGGTCTTGCAGGAAAGACTGGACAGTGCGTTTCTACACTTTGGAAATACTTTTAATTCTGTTTTTTTGATAGTTTTCTAAAACTATCTGGTTTCCTAGGCTTCATTATGAGAAAAACTTTAATTATTGATACAATTTCTTTGTTTAGGTATTACTGGTTTCTTCCTGATATAACTAGGTACGTTATATGTTTATAGAAATCCATATTTTAGGGGCTGGGGATTTAGCTCAGCAGCATAAGCACCTCCCTTGCAAGCAGGTGGTCGTGAGTTCGATCCCCGGTACCGATAAAAAAGATACAAAAAAAAAAAAAAAGAAATTCATATTTTACATATTTTTGAAATTTTTTGGCAAAAAACTATTCATAACGTTTAGTCTTTTCAGAATTTCTGGTGCATATATTTGCAAACATAACTTATTTACATCTAGTTTCATTTTTTCCCACAATTTCTCCAGAAGCTTGTGTTTTCCAACAACCAACTTTTGGCTTTTTGATCCTATTTCTGTGACTTTATTATTTAGGTATGCTGCTGCCTTTATTACCTCTTTCTTCTATCTTCTTTGAGATTAATTTTGTTTCTCTCCCTTAACTTAACTAGACTATTAGTTTTCAACTTTTATTTCAAAAGTAAGTAATGAAAGTCTAAAGATGATAAAATACTGCTTAAGTGCCACCTTAGAAACAGTATATAAGTTTAATATTTTCAAGCCAAAATATCCTTCAAAAAGGAACTCCGCTGCACTGCTGGTGGGAGTGCAGACTGGTGCAGCCATTGTAGAGGTCAGTCTGGAGATTTCTCAAAAAGCTGGGATTGGAAGTCCCACTTGACCCAGCTATTCCACTTCTAGGCATATTCCCAGAAGAACTGAAAACATCATACCACAGTGATATATGTGCACCCATGTTTATAGCAGCACAATTTGTAATAACCAGATCTTGGAAACAACCTGTGTCCATCAACTGAAGAATGGATAAAAAAGATGTGGTATTTTTATACAATGGAGTACTACTCAGCTATAAAGAATGATCACATTGAGATATTTATAAATAAATGGACACAACTTAAGACCATACTCACTAGCAAAATAAATCAAACTCACATTTATAAATAACGAATAGTCTCTCTAGTGTAAGAAGTGGTAAGAGTTCATAAGAGTTTTTAGTAATCATGATTCCCCATTACATTGCTCTGAAGCCTTATAATGTCTACATGCATTAGTTGGAATGGTTTTATCCCAGTTTGTTTGATTTTATTATCTGTGATAGTATAAACAGCTATTTTAAAGAAAAGAAGAGATTAGAATAGTCAGAGCTGATTTAGTATCATTTTACTCTGAAGTCCTACTATGCTTTTGTTTTTCTATTGCCTTTGGTTCTATACTATTGTATCTTATTGGATATTATTATGTGTGATAATATAAACATATTTTCTATGGAAAATGAGATAATATAGTAGCCATTGTTCGTTCTCTGCTATTTGGTTCTGAAAGACTGTAATGCTTTCATTCTCTTGAATGGTTTTATACTCTTTTGTTATGTTTGATACTATCATATATGAAGCTATGCTCATCTATTTCAAAGAAAGAGACACTATGGCAGTTACTGTTAATTATGGGTTGTCTTGTGGTAAAATGCTGTGTTACTTGCATTGTTCTGATCTGATCTGCTTTGTTAGGTCCTCTTTTGTCTTAATCTCTTTAAAATAAAAACAAATTTTTTAAAAATCCTTCAATTTCCATTTATAATTTCCTCTTTGAACCATAAGTCAGAAGTGTACGTTAGTCTACAATATTTTGTTACAGCAGTTCAACCAATGAATATACTTTGACCTATTCTGTAGCTTGTTTAAAATTTGCATTATTCCTAAAGCCACCAAAAAGAATATCCTTAGAACAAGAGAAAAACCCTCATTTTCCTGGGTGAATGTGACTTTAGAAGCAGAATCTTATACGATACATATTCCAAGGTCAAAATTCTATCTTATTTTCATGTTTTAGTTTTTCATTTCCTAAGGAAAGCCTTTGTGTTGGAAAGGTTCTTACAAAAGAAATTCTGAACAGATAGAAAGGAAGAATATGCTAATTTATTTTCCCATAAGAAATAAGTATTTCTGAGTGAATAGATGGATACAAAAGGAGATGCAACAACAATAAAGCTTTATGAAGAAACTTTTTTAGTAATGTGAAGGATGAAGACATTCACAAGAATAGTACCGTAATGTAATCATCCTTTGGAAAGTACCTGGACTTCAGGCGTTACGCTTCCATTCTGTGAAATAAAGCATTAAGTCTCTAAGAGTCTGGCTCACTAAAAGTTGACCTGACTTCCCTGGACAATAAAGATGAAACTGGATCTCTGTGTTCTATTTAAATCAGTGATTTAAATAGAATTTAAATCCTGTTAGCCAGCAGAGCTTTGCAATTACCCTCATATCCAGTCACATGTGGTTAAACAACCTGATGAGTATCCTAGATGCTTAATCTTGAAACCAGTTCAATTGATGCATTAAAAAAATGAGGAGAAAAAGCACTACCCACACCCTTGGCTCCTTATCTCTGGATTTAACTCTTTACTGCTGTCCACTGCCACTGCGGCTCTACAAGAAAAAGTATTCTAACATTCCCAGCATACCTGTGGATACGTATCTCTAATGTAGAAGATTAAACTCCAAAATTGACAGTGAGATGAAGAGCTTACCTTTGAAGAATTAACTCTGCTTGTTTTTCAGAAATAGTGAGACCCAGTATCTGGAGAGACTGAACAATTTCTGAAGCTTCAATCTTTCCTTTAAAAATACAAAAACAGTATAAACTCAGAATTGAAAGAAGCTTAGGAAATGTGAATTTCAAATCTCATTTAAGAGAAAGCTTTGAAATGATTAAGGCAAAAATTATGCATTTGTTTAGCTACATATTGCAACAACAATATGCAAAACAATAAATACATGCGTCAAGGCAAGAGATACAGCTCAGCAGCACAGCACCTGTCTGGTAAGCGTGAGGTAGTGAGTTTGATTCCTGATACCAAAATAAATAAATAAGTCAATATGCACACTGTATTCCAGTAATCATAATAACCTTGTAGAAAATAATATTCCTTTAAAGAGGTAAGAGCTCAAGTAGTCTACTGGGTGAGAGACTCAAAACAAGCCCAACAGAGATTCAAATCAAAATCTGACTTTGAGGTGAATTCAATTAACCTAGGATGTACTCATTTTAAAAGCATCTACTTTTAGATTTTAATAAATGATAAGGTGGTCTCTATGAGTAAAGTTATATGACTGTAGGTTTTCTCCACTAAGAGTATGAACTCCACATAAAGTAGAAAAGAAGAAATGGGGCTAAAGAGCACACACACTTCTCTGATAAACCTGGCAGCAAAAAATGGAGCAAAGAGAAAAGGGCAATGGAAGAGAAAATGTGTAGTATTAGGGAAATCAGATCACATCTGTGGAGAGGAGAGCAAGCAGAAGGAAGAGACGGTAAGCAAAGTACAAGCAATAAATGTAAACAGCTCAGCACGTCAGTGGAGCAGCTCACAGGACTTGCTTATATGAACTCAGATGAAGCAAAACAAAATGAGAGAGTCACCCAAGCAGGACTAACAGCTTTTCTCAGGAAAAAAAGACAAACATTACTGTTAGTGAAGGGTGAAAAGAATGACTTCATCTAGAAAAGGGATCTCAAAGAAATGACAGAATTCAGACACAATCCTACTGGGGAAAGGAAAACATCATGAGAATCTGGCTGTGTTGGTTACTTTTCTCTCACTGCTGAGACAAAATACCCATTGCCCAAAATAAAGACAGAAAGAATTACTTAGTTCACAGTTTGTGGAGGTTTCAGTGCATACTCAGCTGGCTCTAAGGCAAAGCGGTACACGGCAGAGGAGCGACAGTTCATGGTGATGGAAAATAGCAACAGCAACAAGAGTAAAAAGGAGAAGAAAGAGAATTAAGCTGCTCTCCCTTCCTTGCACTGTATGCAGGCCACCCGCCCCTTGCAAGGTGTAGCACTCATACTCATAATCCCCGCACTAGACAATGAATCAATCACAAACTCTAGAAGCCTGCCTCCAGGACTGAATGAGGCTTTGTGAGGATAACTGGACACAAACCATAACACTGGCCCATGCAAAGACAGTTGGAGGAATCAACTGTAGTGATAAAATTCTTCAAATACCACTCTGTATGTTCCTTTTTACAACCATACTCTTAAAAGATTTTCATTCAGTTCTTGGTATTCAAAGTAGCTATATTTTATAAAGTCATTACAAACACTTAATTATAAATATCTGAACCACTGCTCTTACAGGAAACACACAGCGAAGTTCCTGGAAACTTCAGATCATATTTTCATCAACTGATCAATATCTGAACTTGTCTCATGTGCATTTCTGACTCTGAAAATTCTCTGACTCTGAATATTCACAAGTAGGAAAGGAGTTTGGTGCTGTTATGATTTAATAAACTTCTCATCATATCAAAGGTTGCCTCTACAGATGGGGGCTTTATACCTGTTCCATTACTCCTACAATGTTTTAAGATACCTCAACTTAACACACACTGTTGATTCACTAACACTGAACCTGGCAAAGCGTTTCTGATGTTTCATCTACACTACGGCCTTCTGGTATTTAGGAACACTACATACAACATTTTTTTTTTTTTATCGGTACCGGGGATCGAACTCACGACCGCCTGCTTGCAAGGCAGGTGCTTATGCCGCTGAGCTAAATCCCCAGCCCCCTACATACAACATTTTAAAAAGCAAAGTTATCTTCCCAAAAGAAGTACAAAATGAAAACAAACAACAACCAAATCATAGCACAAGACAGAACTCAAAAAGGACACTAGTTTACATTCTGCAAGCTAACCTAAGAAGGCAAAATGTCACTGTCTTCCACCTTAGCTAGGAATGTGCATATGGCACAATGTTTTGTTCCCTTGTATAGGTTCATGAATGGGTGGGAAACATTGTGAATATACATTTTAGGGTACCTTTCAATGTTAAATTTTAGCAAGCAAGCAGCAAATCTACAGAGTTCACAAATAATAAGGATCAACTGTATTTGCTTTGCTTCAAGAACCTTGATAAAAATATGTACCTATAATAAATTATTTCAAAATATACAAAAAAATTACATGGCCATTGTTGACATTTACTACACAGGTATCATTAAAATTTTGCCTTTATTCCCTATAATTCTCTTAGAATTTTCTGAAATAAACAATTTATATATTAGAATGATTAGCCACTGTTATGGGTTGTGTCTGGATGTCCCCCAGACCCTCATGCAGTCATGGAGGAGACAAGCATTTTGATAGTGGCAGAATCTAGAATTTGTGAATGGTTTGTGGCCCAATACTCTGATTAAGGGTGTGAGTGCTACACCCCTCCCCCCCCAGGGCAGGTAGCCTGCATACAATATAAAGGACAGAAAACGTATTGTGTCTCCCTTTTGCACTTGTTGCTTTTGCTGTTTTCTGCCGCCATGCACTGCTGTGTACACCCTGCCTGAGAGCCAGCAGATTATGGACTGAAACTTCTACAAACTGTAAGCTAAACAAACCTTTCCCCCTTTAACTTTGGGTGTCAGGTATTTGTCTCAGCAATGAGAAAAATAACTAAGACAGCCACTAATTATCTGGCAGTTGATCCTGAGCTAGACATAGCTCTCAGATTACTTTTTTTCTCTATAACTGAACAATTAAACTATTGTCCCAGGTTGGGACAAAACTTCCCAACAAGGAAGGAAAGTTCATTGAAAGAAGTGAATTTTGCCTGAAAACTAGACTTGGGAACATACAATGTTCAGTTTATTAGAGGCCACAAAAGTTCTAATACTACAACAAGCTCTTCCTGTCATAGATCAGAATCATTACCAAAGAGTTTTGCTGTTTGTTTGTTTGTTTGTTTGAACTGAAGTTTATGCTCAGTATAAACCAAGAGGTGGAAAGCTATAATTTTGAAGCCAAATAAAGCCTCATGTCTTTGTAAGTGAAGTCTGTTAGACCCAGCCATGCCCATTGTTTACATATTGTCCTGACTGATATAAAAACCATATACTTTCTCTTAACCTACTTGTTCACCTTGTTTCTAAAATAACAAACTATAAATGGAATGACTCTGAATATTCACAAGTAGGAAAGGAGTTTGGTGCTGTTATGACTTAATAAACTTCTCATCTTATCAAAGGTTGCCTCTAGAGATGGGGGCTTTATAACTCTTCCATTTCTCCTACTATGAGCTTTGGGTTCTTCTTGCCCTACATACCTGGCATTCTTAATGCTCTTCCCTACAGGAGCCACACACCCAGTTAGAAAGTTACATACTCAAATGTGCACATGCTATTTTTTTTCTAATTTTCAGAATCAGAGAATATGTTCTCTAAAATAATTTTTTCAAAAAGATCACCAAATGTAAAATAATCTTAAAAGTTTAAAATGTTAGAATATACAATACATGTCTACAGATAAACAACATAAATACCATTTCTGAGAGGGCAAGGAAACATACTTATATTTAACTCATAGCTTAGGCAAATCAGCATAATGTTCCATAGTTAACACTGTGTGATTTTGCTTAATTATAGTAGACAAAGTTATTTATAGATTTTCTTCACTGAAAGTATGAACTCTATAAAAATTACATTGCTAAAATAAATATTAACACAAGCAATAATTATCATCTACAAAACACACATAATTTTAGACTCTTAGAAGCATAAGAAATATTTCTTCAAAGCTGATGAATAAATAAAAGAAAAACACACCATCATTATTTTTGTCCAAACTCTTAAATGCCAATTTCATTTTTTTCTCATGGTCCTTAAGGTACTTCATAAATTCTTCAAAATCCAGCTTCCCATCTTTGTTGATGTCTCCAGTTGTAAAAATTTTCTACAAAAAAAAATGCAGATATTTATTGTCATCATGGGCAACAGTACTACATTAATTGTATACATAGTTCAAGCAGATTGGCTGTCTTCCTGAAAGACCACCTTTCAACCAGATACATTCATCATCCATCATGGCAAATCTGTAATAAAAGTATTCTACTGCAAAAGACTCCAGATCTTGTATTACATTTTCAGTTAGAAAAATAATTATTTCTAGAAAACACAACATCTTTAGCACTATTCATATCCTAAATTTCTAGACAAATACTTGATAAACCGTAAGATGGAAATCAAACACTTATTTTAGCATAATGTCTAACACAGTGTTTTTCCTCTTAATTCCCAAAATTAGGAGATCTCTGGACCGTATCTTTAAAAGTCTAATGTTTAAAAAAAAAAAAAAAAAAAAAAAACATATCTCTGCAACTTTTCTCATGCTAAGTAAAGAAAGTTACAATCACCAAATGACTTCAATTTACCAAAAGTATGCGAGGCTAAGATTTCTCTTTTGAATTTTCTTGTATGTTTCTCTGTGGAAATAAATGAAAACCAGCCAAACAAGAGAACCAAAAGCTATTTACCATGAAAATTTACTATAGCAAGGTAGTCAGCCACTGTCACTAGCATTTTGACAGACTTAATGGGGAGCAGAATCCTGGGAAGCTACACAGTAGGAAAAGGGAGGTTTCAGATGTGCCTAAGGTGGAGGCTGCTGCCTGGAGAAGCTGTATGCTAATTACAAAGCAAGCATCTGCATGACTGTGGCTGTGCATTCTGCTTTCTTTGGCCCTAAAATTGAAGTGAACTCAAAACGTAGAAAACCTGTCAGTGTGAATTTTAGGAGTCTTTAACTTATTAAGCAAGCCCTTGTCATTTTAAGTCTGATTGTTAAAAAGTTACTGCCTAGGTTCCTCGACTGTCGTGCGAGACAGCAACCTAACTTCCTGAAGCCTAACATAGCAGGCTGGATCCCTGGGCTGTTTATGCTAGATAAGGGGCTGGGTCTGGGACAGGTTGCCACAGGTTGTGGGCCAAAGTTGTATTTTTAGTTATAGGCCAGTCATTGCCCATTTGTACATTCATCTCACACTTTTGTTAGTAAATGATGGAGACCACTACAAAATGGTTCTGAGCAAGATTTAAAGTTAACTAATCAGCTTTCTATGTTTACTTGTGAGTGTGTCCCAGGCCTAAGCCCCTTGTCTGATGATGGGCAGCAGATTCACGGTAAGTGAACCCTCCATGAGTCACAATCCTGGATGAGGCCTGTGATGACAGTAATTCCTCAAAGGACAAGATAAGACATAGTTAAGGACACGTGGCTCCAACTCCAATTAACTAGATAGAGACTGCAGTTGCAGGCAACTCATTTTGGCTTTCTGAGTCTTGCCACAAATCTCAACCTGGAGATAAGATAGTTCTCCTAAATCAGCATAACTTACTACTTGGAGAAGTCTTTGAACTGACTCCCAGGGCCCTGCTCAGTTTCCTGCACTTTCGTCAATATCCAGTCCCTTTGTCTGAAAACTAAATACCTGACACCCAGAGAAGTTCTTTGTCTCAGGCCCCAGAATGTTGAACTCTGTCAGAGGTTTCTGATCCTCTTGGCACCCTAAAATCTACCATTTGTCTCTTTTACTTATGCCTCTGCAGTCCACTCCTTTGGGAGGTTGCAAGCCTGATCACTCCACGATAAAAAGAAAATAAAGTATCAACTGAAAAAACCTGTTAGTTATCAAGAAAAAGATTTTTTACATCTCAACACTATAAAAATGTTTCTTTGTTTAAAAAATCAATTTCTGTCTATATGAATGCATTTCCTGCTACAACAGCCAGAAATATGTGACAAATGACCTCACTTGACTACTATGGAGACATATTGGCTTAAACAATAAACATTATTTGTTACAGTTCTCAAAGCTGAAGTCCTACATCAAGAAATTATCAGATTCAGTTTTGTTGAGGGCTCATTTTCTGGTTCTTCTCACTGTCTTCACTTAGTGAGAGAGATGAGGGAGCTCTCTGTGGTCTTATAATCTATCCTCTGATCTAATCACCTACCAAAATCCCACCACGGAATACCATTACACCAAGAGTTTGCATCACAGATGACGAGTATAAATAGCCCACTACAGTAGGTTTCTCAGTTCAAGGTCCTATACCATCTGTGATTCTACAGAAAACACTGTAAGAGTGGTCCCTATGAAAGTTTGACAAACAACTTAGTTTGAGGAGGAAAAATCTGGAACCTGATGAACTGAAAAGATAAGTTGAATATGTATATCTAACATGAAACCACACAGCTGTTACATTATACTAAAATCTATTAGTGGCTTTAAAAAAGTGAAAACAAATGTTCACAGTGAAGATTCTCTTCTTTTGTATGAAAAGAAAGTGAATATGTCCGGATTCCTGCACCAGGTACACAGCCTGTCCAGTTCACAATAAATAAGAGGTAGAAGCTGGTACATAGCCAAGGAAGTCATTGGTCATATCACAAAGTCCACATGTCCATTCTCTGTGATTATAACAAAATAGCTAAGACCTAGTAATTTGTAAAGAGAAAGTTTGACTTGTGATTCTGAAGTCTGGGAAGTTCAAGAACATGGTGTCACGATTCAAGAGAAGTCATTATCTCGGTAGATGTAAACTGACACAATTAGTAGGAGGCAGTGTAGCTTTTACACAATGGAGACAAAGTGATACAGATGGAACTGAAGAGATCCACAGGGGTGCAGCCTGATTCTCCCTTTTCTCCCTTGGCCACGCCTAGGAATGAGCACATGCAGCAATATCAGCCTGGGAAGCTCAGACCCCTCAGGAATGAAGACAGAGAGACTCACAGAGATTATAGCTTAGAGTGAAGGGGACTGACAGTAGTCAAGAAAGGAAATGAGCACCAGTTGTGACCAACTGAAGCAACAGAGACTGTAGCTCTTCCTAATGCCTTCCCTTAGTAAGAGAGACCAAGAACCGCAAAGGAGTTCTTTCTTGAAGCTCTGTAAGAAGCAAATCTTTCTCACACATGTCCTCTCAATGGTGGCAAGGATGTTAAGCAGCTCAGCTCAGCCTCCATAAAACCTGGCTGCAGAAGGAAGGAAGGAAGCAGAGCTGGAGGACAACCCACCCCGCCACACCTTGGGAACTTTGACCCACTGCAGCTCCTACCGGTGGTCCTTATTCAAAATAACAATTACATTCTCTCTAGCCATAAAAAAAAGTGCATGCATTTTTTCTAAATTGAAACAATACAAAAGATGTAAAGAAAAAAGTAGAAAAGTAATTCTAACTCTTATTCCATCCAAAAATAACCATCACTAATCTTTTACAGAAGAGTATGCCAGTTTAAAAAAGAATCCTGGAAATGATAAATAATGCCTAGCCATGAGCACATGGAGTGACATTACATGTATAAATAAAATATATTTTGTACAAACACAAAGAAATGAAGGAATTTACATATAGTACAAACATATACTTATATATATATATATAACTATATTACCTATATTACCCACATATACCTATATATGCCTATATTACAGTAAGAAATGTCATCGTGTTTTATGTGTTTACATGCAATTTTATATAACTTATGAATCTTGGTTAACTAAGACTTTTTAAATTCCTAGTTTTACTAGCTAACTCCTTTTTCTTAAAAACTGTACCAGAACTTTGTGTATTTTATTCATATTTTTAAAATATATTCGAAATATGTATCATGGAATTTAAAAGCCCACTCTTAAATGTTTTATGAGTCAAAGATGAAATTATATTGTAAATTAGAAAACATCTGGAATTAAATAACAAAATTAAGTAATTCCCCCCAAATACTTGAGAGATGTGCTAAAGAAATTATTAAAGGATATTATATCTTCAAATTAACAATTTATGTATTCGATTCAAAAAATTAGAAAAAGACCAAATGGGTAAACTCAAAGTGGAAGGAAATAAACAGAAATTAGAGATAATGGGCAAAGTCTGACTTAAAAACAGGAAACTGAATAGGCCTATAATACTAAATATATTGTCAGTGGAGTTTCAATATGCAAGTACAGAGCAGTTGCTTGCCCTCACAGTAACGCAATCCACTTTCCCTCTGAGCAGAGAATGCCACAGCTGTCCTCTTGCACTTTGGTAGTGCTGGAGGCGATCCAAATACTATTGTATCCCCACCCAGCTAAGGGGAATGATATGGGATACAATTAAAATGACTCAGAGAAAAATTACTCAGCAGCAGGTCAACCTTAAAAATTACTCAGCAACAGGTCAACCTTTCAGATCAACTTGTGTATGCTGGTCATCAATTTAAGAATGTCTTCTTTCTTCGTTTAGGTTTTTTATGGTTGTTCGTTTCACAATAGGGTCTCACTACGTACTTCAGGCTGACCTTGAACCCCTTTACGAAGCCCACGTTGATCTCAAACACGCTGCGATCTTCCTGCCTCAGCCTCCCCAGTGCTGGCATTACAGGCATGCGCTAGCAAGCTCGGCCAAGAATGTCTTAAATAGTGAAATGTCGCCACTTCTCAACATGAACTACTGATTTTCAAATAGTTTTGAAACAGTAAACAACTTGAGCTGTGAAACAAAGCAACTTCAAAGAGATACAAAGTATGGTCTACAGAACTAAGAGATACAAAGTATCATCTACAGAACTTGGAACGCACTGAAATCTGACAGCTAAAAAAATGTTAAAATGTTTGCCGAGGCACAAAAAGGGTTTCAAATTTTAACAGGGCCACCGGCCACAACTTTCTCAACACTAATTTGAAGTGGAAAAGCACCCGCAGCCTCTCGGATCCAGTCCAGCTGGACCCCTGGCGCGGGCGGCCATCTCGGCGCCTGGCTCCTGCGTCTGGGGCTCCGGGTGCCCGCGCCCACCGCGCCCCGCAGCGACCCACCTCCTCGGCGTCCTGGCCCAGCGGGATGCCCAGGCTTTGGAGCCCCTGCTGCAGCTCGCCGATGTCCACCACGCCGTCCCCGTTGCGGTCCAGGGCCCGGAAGAGGCTCTCGTAGCGCGTGGGCGGCTCCGCATCCTGGCAGGCGGCCCGGGGCAGCGCGGAGCCCCGCAGCCAGCGCAGCATGTTCCCGCAGCCCGCGGCCACCGAGGAAGTGGGCCGCGCCGCAGAGGCCGGGCCGGGCGGGGTGGTGGGGCGGGGCCCAGGTCGGGGCTGCGGCTTCCGAGCCGCTGCGCAGCGCGAGGCCGCGGGGCCGGCCCTTGGGGAGTGGCCGCCAGCTCTGCTGGGGCGGGGTGGCGGTGCCCGGCGGCGGGCAGGGCAGGCTCCGGCAGGAAACGGGTGGCTGTGCGGAGGACCCGGGTTCCGAGGGAAGAGCTCTGCTCCATCCCGCATCTTCTAGGGGGGAGCAAGTCCCCAGAAAGAGGGGGGCCTCAGCTGCAGGGTCAGCGGCTTGGGCACCGGAGAGTGCCTAAACTGCCGGTCACTCCTCCTACGACCCTGCGACTGCAGCCTGGGCGAACCGCCAGAGTGGTTCTCCCCGCGCGCACCCCGGACTCCCGCTCCGCCGGTCTCGCAGGACCTCGAACTTGTTCGTGCAATGCCAGAAATTATACATCCCTGGAGTTTTGTATTAGCGAAAAAGAGGCGGAAGTGGTTAGTTGTACACCTAAGGTAGAAATCTGCTTAAGGTAAAGAGTTAGATGGTAAAACATCTCTGCGATTTAAAAGGAGCAGGAGGCTTTTGCAAAAAAAAGGGGGGGGGGTCTGCTTTAGCAAACAGTATGGTGATGTGATCTCCGTGATAAACCCCTGTCGCTCCAGCCCACAGCTGGGTTTAAGAAAAGTCTCAGGCCCCTCCCTATGGGTGGTTCTGACTGATTACCCGGTGAGTCAGAATTTCCTTCCGTGAAGCATGCGCTGTTGGAAGAGGCACTGGGCTGGGGATGGAGCTCAGTGCTACAGCTGGCCCATCGCAGGCCTAGAATGCCTAGAGGCCTTGGTTCAGTTTCCAGTATGAGAGGGGAGGAGTGAACACTTTATCTACAGACCAAACACCGGGGCTCTAATCCGGCAGCTATGTAGCTGCTCATCCACAAAATTAAAATATGAATAACTGCCTCACAACAAAACTACATATTGTGTGTGAAAGGTCTTTAAAGCAACAATCTAGTAAATTGTGATCACTTTAGTACAAATACTATGTTCCTCTTGTCTGTAGAAGCAAAGATATCAATGAATTTATAGATTAGAGAAGTATTCTAAATCACTAAACAGTTCCAACAAAGCTAGGAATGCAGATCCTGAATTTACCTACTCTCACAGGGTTTTATATGACATAATGTGGGCCCGGGGATATAGCTCAGCACACAGGACCTGCCTAGCAAGTGCAAGGTCTTGAGTTCGATTCATAGTACCAAAGAAATAAAAGAAAAAAAAAAAGAAAAGACATAATGTGTATATATATGTAGGGTTTACAGTTAGGGAGGGACAGCCTGTTTTAGTGAAATCATGATGAAACCAATGTATCTGCTTATATTACTCCCAACTTCCAATCTTTGTTAAGGATTTGCCCCTTCCTTTGGAACACCCTTCAAACTTCAAAACTTCTTTATCTGTCCTTGAAAACTTCTTTTAACCCCCTACTATGTATTTAGGAAAAGCTGCTCGCCAAACCCAGAAACAACCAAAATGTATTAGAAGAGCTGAGTTTATAAGAAGCGTTTTGCAGTCATACAATAATTAAAAGGAATGAAATACTGAAACATTCAAATGCACTGTGCAATGTTCTAGAGGAGCCAAAACTGTAAGGATAGAAAACAGATCAGTAGTTGCTAGGGCATGGGAGCCCAAGAGGGATAGATTACAAAGGAGCGCTTAAAAGCTGTAAGGGGTGACAGAACTGTCCTATCCGGAGTAGGGGACAACGACTGTATCAGAAACTTACAATCTTGGCTATGACAGGTGTACTCTACATATAGTATCTCAATAAATCTGATTTTTAAAATCTTGGTGAACTTTTATACTGATTTCCATAGTAGTTGTCCTAGTTTACAGATCCACCAACAATGGAAAAATATTTCTTTTTCCTTCCACAACTGTGTCCTTCATGATCACTATTCTTAATAAAGATGAATTCTCAGTGTTATTTTGCTTTGCATTTCTTTAATGACCAAAGATGCTGAACATTTTTTTTCATGTACTTACGGGTCATTTGTGCTGCTTTTGAACATCTATATTCATTTCAGTTGCTTGCTTTTTAGTTGAATCTTTTTAAATGAAATAAGTCAGACACAGAAGATAAATATCACATGGTTTCTCTAATATGGAAAGCTCTTCCAGGCCCCCCCCCCACTCTTCTCTGCTTTCTTGCCACTATATATGAGCACCTTTCCTCTGCCATGCCATCCCACCATGGAGTCAATTAACTATGGACTGAAACTACTACAAACTGTGAGCCAAAATAAACCTTTCCTCCTTTATTTTGCAGGTATTGTGCAGTGTGACCCAGTGATGAAGAAAGTGACTAAAATAGATTTTGGTACCAAGAGTGAGGCTGTTGTGATGCTACCTGGCCAAGTGACCCAGAAACTTTTAGAAATAGTTTGCAAAAACCACAGAAAAGATCTGGAGATGTATGATGGAAAAGCAGCCTTAGGATGCTGTGAATACACTTTGATAAGGGATTCTGCTCAGAGCTCAGAAGATCAAAATCCTGACGGAAGTGCAGATGTTAAAGACCAATCCTAGGAATTTTCCATTGGCAGTCTGGCTCTGGGTCATGTGTGCTATACTTTGGCAGAAAATTTGTCTGCATTTTGCTTAGGTCCTGAGACTCTATGGGAGTCTGAGATTAAGAGTGGCAGACTATGGGGCTGGAGATTTAGCTCAGCGGCATAAGCGCCTGCCTTGCAAGCAGGCAGTCGTGAGTTCAATCCCTGGTACCAATAAAAACGAAAAAGGAAAAAAAAAAAAAGAGTGGCAGACTAACCTGCTAGAAAAATTTCAAGGCAGCCCAGCACTGAAGCTGTGGCATGGGTACTGTTAGCCAGCTTCCTTGAGAATCAAGAACAAAGGGTTTAGGTGAGTTATTTTAAACTTTTCAGTTTTTCCAGGAAAAACCCAGGAGCATGGAACATCTGAGAAAAGCCACAAAGTGAGCAAAGCCAGCTCAAGAGAGAAACCATGAGATCTACAACCACTTGCAATGCTGTAGGAATGAGGTTGCCCAAACCCTTTAGAGTTCATCTCTCTCCACATATTGCCTCAGCTGCTGGACACAAAACTACAGGAATTCATGTCTGCCCTGCTGGTTTTGATCTCACTCTAGTCTTACTCTATGTATTCCTGCATTCCTTCTTTTTGGAGTAGGAAGGTTTGCCCTTTACTTTTGTCTGTTGGCATTGTGTAACTTTCTTTTGATTTTTACAGGGCTTGCAGCTCACAGAGTGCCTTAAATCCCAGAGTGCCTTAAAGCCCAAATTTGGGCTTGGCCTTTCAGCAATGTTGAAACTATTAGGACCAATAAATACATAAAAAAAGGTTCTACAGTGCTGGCCACTAGCAAAATGCAAATTAAAACAACACTGAAATTCCATCTTACTCTAGAAAAAGTGACTCATTAGGAAATCAAATAACAATTGCTGATAAGGCTGAATGGGAAAAAGAAACCCTTCTAAATTGTTGGTGGGAATATAAACTAGTACAATCGCTATGGAAATCAGTATCAAGATTCCTCAAAAAACTAAAAGTAGAAACACCATTTGACCCAGCTATTCCCCTTCTAGATATTTTCCTGAATTTTAAAGATATATTACAGTGATATACACAAACCCATTTTTAAGGCAGCACAACTTATAATAGCTAAATATTGGAAGGAGCTTGTATGCCCATCAATAGATGAATGGATAGGAAAATATGATGTTTATACACAATAAACCATAATGAATAATAACTTCAAGTCATAGAAAAGTAGATCCACCTTAAAACCATAATTTTAAGTGAAATAAATCAGACACAGCTTAAATATTGCATGGTTACCTCTTTATGGGAAACCCAAAATATAAAGAGCAAAACAAAAGATATATAGTAAGATGTAGGTAGAATGATCTTTTCCAAATAAAAAGGACTTCAAGAGATGGAAAAGATAGGTGGAAGAGAAGAGAAGGGAATGAAAAAAAGAATTAAGATGTGTTGTGTACATGTACCAGTTCCCCATAAGTAATGTAATCATTATGTACAACAAACAAGTCCTAGTAAAAATAAAAAAATATATACTGATAATTTATATAAATATCATTCTTCCCTTTCTTTTTTCTTTACTCTTTTTTTCTTCTCTCCATTCTTTTCTCACCCTTTACCTTCTTCATTCTTCTATTCTTGATTCACCAGTTAAAAGCCACTAAACTGGCTGACTGAGGAAAACTGCTCAGTAGAAGCCAAAGCTCAAGGAAGGAAGGTGGCTGCGCAGGGCAGTGGTCATTCATGGGGTTGGAGATTAGTTACACAAAAGAAATGAAGCACATAAAAATACTAAGGATAATGAGAACTAGGCTTCTTGCTGACAGAAAAATGAGTTACAAATACCAAAAGGGTTACATTACAATTAACCGTTGCATTGTGACTACTGGCGATACAGGTATGAGTTTAAGCTTGCAAATATTTTCAGACACAAAAATATAAAGGTGTATAAATACAGTGTGTATACTCTTACATAATTTTCCAGGTCAGTCTACTAACAGGACCTATAAGGAGTAAATCCATGTACTATTAAGGACATTGAGGGTCAATTTTTCTTTCTAGATACCTTTCTCTAACAGGGACTAGAGGATTTTGAAGAAATAGTTGACTCTAAGGCAGAAGCAGCAAAGGTACAGCTAAATATAGAATATGTTGCTTTATTGGAAAGTAAGTGCTCAGAAAATGGGGATATATTTAAAGGACTTGGTCAGCCTAAAGGGGCTTTTACTGGTAAAGTCTATGAAAATTTGGGCATCAAAAATAGGTTGTTTTCACGTATTTTGTCCCATTAAGTAAAGCAGGAATCCATCAGTCCATACATATGTACATACAAATGAGGTGAGAAAATTACTCCCTGAAAGAGAATGCCAACTAATAAATGTTGATGGACTGATTAAAAACAAAATGTGACTCATGGTAACAGTAATTAATTCAGGCAAGAAATATTAATATTTATTCC